GAGATTTAAAGGTTATAGTGAGAAACTGATGTGACTCCATTTTTGAAAACCCAGCTTCTACTTCAAGGCCTGTCCAGAGAGAGGGGGCATGACCCTTGTCCTTGGAAAAACCCACAGAGCACTCCTAGGCAAACAGGAGTGAGTTGTTTTTCTGTTAATAATGGGAGAGATCTGCAGCGCCAGGTGTCCCTGACTCAGTTAGGCTAGGTGAGGACCCATAGTAACCCCCTAGCAACCACCAATCAGCATGAGACAGGGAAAATACCTGGGATGCAGATGACCCCCCAGTAGTCTCTATGGTTGATAACACGTTAGGATACCATGTAGTTTAGCACATACACCCCTCACGGATTAAACCAATCAGTTCAAAGGAATCTCCCTCTGTACTGACCAATCACCCCTACCCAACTTGTTCCCGCCAGTGAACACTGTTAAGAGTTGTTGTTTGATTTTCCCGTGGTGTGAAATGATTGGCTGTGTGATGTTGTGCCGCATAGAGTACCCCTCCCAAACTTATAAAATCTTACCGAACAAAGGACCCGGGTTCACACCTCAGAACTGCTGCATTGGAAACTGTGAGTCCAGGGTCGAGCTTGCAATAAAGACTCTTGTGTGATTGCATCAGATTCGGCTCCTGGAGGTCTACTGGGGCATTACAATAGGACTGCTTTTTCTCTTAATGTCTTAGATCAAATGTAGTGAGAAACAGGAACAGGTCAAAGGGGTGAAGGTAGAATCAGTCATAGGATTAATAAAGCTGGATTACAGGATTTGGCGTGGCTTTGTCTTCTTGAATTGACTGACAGACTCAGGCACAATTCCACAGAGGAGAAGGGACCACAAAGACCACAAAGGAGGGAGGAGAAGGCATTCCTCTGTCCAGAGGGCCTTCCCAAAGAGGGGACCCAACTGTCTTATCACCTCTCTGAACTTGTGAAAGAAAACCAAAGTCAGGAGCCATCTGTCACATCTGCTCCTTTCTGAACACTTAACATGGGACAATTTAGTATTTTCTCCCAACATTATCTCCATCCTGAGCATATGTGATTCCTCACCCTTGACTTTCCTGTTTCCTCCTTTGCCAATACACAGGATATTCCTCCTCACCATTACCTGGTACCCTTCTTTCAGAAGTCTGCCCAAATCTCAGCCTCTCTCTGAGATCTTCCTAAGAGGAATCTCGTGACTTATTGTACCTTTATTTCTAGCTTTTAGAATGTGCACAAATATTTTATGATACAGCTATTTTTCACCTAACATCATCATCTATCTCAACAAAATCAATGGTAAAATAATTACCCTCTGAAGCAATCACACTTTTTTTTTTCAAAGAGCTTCCTTTTTATTTTCTAGGTGCAGACATAATATAATGAAACAGCACATTTTGTGTGGTTCGAGCCAGTGGGAGTGTAGGCAATATAGGTATTTCTGACCTAGTATCCAATCATTCTAATGCATTATGAAATCCGAAGACTACTCTGTAGGTCATTAACAATAATTCAGGACACATTCCCATGTAGTACTCTGAAAAAGTATGAAAGCACAAAACCTCAAGAGAACTTATAGCAGAGAACAAGACTAGAAACTCTAGCAGGTGGATTATTTGCTTTATTGTACTTCATTTATTATTTATTTTTGAAATGTCAGCAATCACAATGACCTTAATAACTTTTTACTAGTTAGTTTGATGCCCATAAAACCTTAAAAAGAGAAGTGGGATATTTCCTTTTATCATAACAAAGAAACTGCTCCCCATATGCTGGGATATATAGTTATTAAATAATCAACCACAGACAATGGGCAAATTTATATATAACTTAACTCCTTTAATATCAAACCCTGTGTCTTAAATTACAGCCTCATACCCTCAATAATGGTGTTTCTAAATGTCCTTTGATCCCAGCAAAGTGTTTCTAAACACTGGATTTGGGCTGGCAATAACTGTGACACTAATGGAAAGGAAATATTAAGCACTTAAATCATCCAAAAGTTGAGCAAGGTTTACAAATTCTTTAAACTTGGAGGAGGAACCACTTTTGAATGTGAAGTTGTGATTTAATTCATGCATTTCTTAAGTATGGGATTCTAAGTGAGCATTTGTGATGCAAAGGAAACCTTCACTAATGAACCTTCAGGGACCAGTTAGCACAGTTTGTTAAATTGGAATGCTAATTAGGTCTAGGCAATAGTCTAAATCAACCTAAATGCTTGTTAGTTTGACCAATTATAGGTGGCCAATAAGTGTTTGTTTAAATTCAATAATTCTCGTCCAGAGGGAATATTCTTGACTATGAGTGGCTGAATTGAAAAATATAGGCTATTAGTCACGAATAAATTGTGCACGAACTGGTGCTACTGGAGGCCAAGGTCACAGCAATGATGCTCAACCACATTCCTTTTACTTATTAGGTCTTGGGCAGCAATCTTTCCAAATGGACCCAGATTAATGTGAAGCTCTTTCATGGCATGTTTAATCCCATGAAAAGTACAAGAGTCTTGGAGTGAAACACCCGGGATATAAACTAGTCCTGAACGCCAGGCTATTTAATGACAAAGCCAAGTCTGGAACCCAATGTGATGATTTGTGGGGAGAATTCCTCCATTTTGACCCATTACACCTTGCTTTATTCTATATTTCTCTCTTTCATATCTCACCAACCTGCTGCTTTCCAACAGTGTATTCTTAAATATTAATTCTTAGGTTCACGCTAACAACTTCAGTCTGTAGCATTTTGATTTCACCACCACAGTGTCCTGACGCCACAAAACCAACCCAGAACTGTCCACACGACTCCGGGTGCTGGAAAATGCAAAGGACCATACTTTACATGAAGCACCAATCCTGCAATTACACAAGATCCAGGGGCATGCCTCTGGGTAAAAGACCCATTTAGAGAAATTACAATTTGTCTTTTGGGTCATTTAAAGAAAAGGGAGTGAATCATTGTATTGAGAGAAACAACTTTGGTATTAGATTGAACCACGTAGAGCTTAAAAGCACTTCAGCAGTTAGTATTAGACTTAGTTGCAGGTGGCAGAAATCTCACAAATAAGCGCTTATTTGAGTGGCAGCCATGGTATCTGTGTCCCGGGTAGTAGGAAGAAGGTACTGTTAGGACAACTGCCAGTAGTGTCATATATCACTCATACTTATAGCTGAATGGCCGGAACTTAATGAAATGGTCTTGTCAAGGCCAGGAAGGCTGGTCCAGCCTTCACACTGGGTGCCCTGATAAAACCTAGGCATTACCGGTAGGTAAGAAATAAGCTTATAAATTGTGGTTTTGGTTTCATTCCTTCACTAACTATGGACTTTGGGAAAGAATATTATGCAGAAAACCCTTCTATAAATTAAGAAACATCTCCTTTGGGTGAGTATTTTTCTTAACCTCTCAGCGGTGTCTGAAACAGCTTCCAGAAACAGTTTATTCTTCCTGTGACTTTAATTGAGCAATACTGTGCTGAGTTTTCTCTGACTTCTCTGATTCATCTCAATTTTTGTTGTTGTTGCTGCTTCTGTCTCCTCTTCCTCTTAGTGGTCTTATTGACTCTGTCCTGTGACAACTTCTTCCTCACTTTTCACCTTACCCATACTTCCCACTGTTACACATGGTGAAAGGAAGCACAGAACAAGTTTATTGAATACCTACTATATGCTAGAAACTATGAGCACTTTATTCATAGCATTGCAATTCTATCAGCAAACCAAACAATACCATTGTTATTCCTATCCTATGTTTAACATAAAGGTTGATGCGATTTGTCCAGTGCAGGGCAGGTACCAGTTTTGGATTTTAGTTGGAGAATGGTCTGACTCCACAGTTTTGGAGCTTATTATTAACCCCACTCTTCCCACCCACCCCCCAACAAAAGAAAAATAACCCGCCAGGTGCCATGTACATAACTCAATTCCTTACTGGATAGTTCTGTTTGCTTATCTTGCAAACATTTCAAACAGAAGACCCCCCAGAGTGAACTCATGGTTTCACCAACTATTTATTGAGCATTTATTAGGTCTCAGGCCCTGCTAAAGATCTACTGATGTAACCTAATGGGAAAATCTCTTACATCATGAAATTTGCAGTCAATTTGAGGAGACAAACAGTAAAACAAACAGCATCAATTTGTGATTTATGCTACAAAATGTAAAATAAAACAGGGTAAGTAGACAGAAAGATGGAGAGGGCTACGTGGCACGTAGAAAAATGGCCCCACAAAGATATTAAATGCTAATCCCTGGAAGCTGTGAATATGTTGTATTGCATGGAAAGGGGATTTTGCAGATGTGATTAAGGTTAAGGACCCTGAGATGCAGAGATTGTTCAGGATAATGTAGCTGAACCCCATATGATGGCCTGGGCTCTTAAATGCGGAAAATCAAAAATATGTGACACAGACAATTGAAAAAGAGGCACAAAAGGTATGAGGGAAACTCAACCACCACGACCGTCTTAGAATATAGAGGAAGGGGCCAGATGCCCAAAATGTGGCATCTCATAGAAGCTAGCAGTGGTCCTCAACTAACAACCATTGAGAAAATGGGGTTGTCTTAGATCATAAGGAACTTTCTTCCAATGACATAAATAAGTAGGAAGAAGATTTTCCCATACAGCCTCCAGGAAGCAGCATACCCTGGTGTTGGCCTAGTAAGGACCTATCATAAACCTCTACCCATAGAAACTAATACATTTCTGTTGCTATAAGCCAATGAATTCTGAAAACTTGTTCCAGCAGCAACAGAAAACGAATGTAGGCTATTTTAAGTATGGTAGCGAGGCAAAACCATTCTCAGCAGAGACATGGAAATGCATCTGACGGAAGAGCTCCCCAGGCCAAAGAATGACCTCAAAAAGAGAGGAAATTGGTGTGTACAAGAAAGATCAATGAGGTCAATATGGCTGGAGGGAGGGAAGGAAAAGTCATGGGAACTGGGATGGATCCAGCACACCAGAGAGACTCAGGACAGGCAACACTGGAAAACATTTCAGCAGATGAATCTCCACAAAACTCACCTCGAAACTTTGTTGTTGGGTATTCAGAAGTAGAACTAGTTGGAACCTTTAAGCAATGGGTGGGTCTTTGGGGCTCTGCTGTCTTGAATGGATTCATGGATTTCTGGGTTATTGAGGGATTGGCTTTGTTATCAAAGTGACCTCTCTCTGACACACTTGTTCTGCCTTTCCTTGTGATACTTTAGGCCACGCTGCAGAGAGCCCCGTCAGCAGAACGACCCTTGCAAGATGGGGCCCCTTGGTCATGAACTTCTCAGCCTCCGGAACTGTAAGGAATACATTTATTTTCTTTATAAAATCTACTAGAATTTTTGCTAGGACAACATAAAGCTGACCAAGACAGCCAACTTACATTCTGGAAAAGTTCCCTGTGGATATTGTAAAGAGAGTGAGGTGAATGGGCCAAAAGTGGCAAAAAGAGAGTCTTGTTAGGACACATTTTATTTACTTTTTTTTTTCCTTATTGTTTTCCAACAATTCAAACAAGAGCAGACAGCTTGGACTAGAGTAGAAGAGGTGAAGTATTAAGAAGTGATTACATGTAGGATATGTTTGAAATTTACAGTCCACTGTATTTCCAATGTCTTGGAATTGGGGTGGGAGAGGAGATGCCATATGAGCAACTAAGCATACAGTGGTGCCAGTTAGGGAGCTGGGTAAAGGGGTAGTAGAAGAAGGGGAGGGGGGCTCATGAGTCTGACTTGGGGCATGTTAAGTTTGGGGTGCCAATTAGTCATCCAACTCATGTTGGTTACATGAGTCTGAATTCAGGGACAGTTTGGAGGCCTCTGGTAGGCAGAATAGCTACCTCCCAAAGATGTCTACATCCTAATCCCCAGAATCCGTGAGTATGTTATTTTTACAGGGCAAGGGAAAATTAAGGAAGCAGATGGAACGGAAATTGCAGAATAGATGATATAAAGAGGATTACCTGGATGAGCACAGTGGGATCATAAAGGACCTTGAATGGGGAGGAGGAAGGCAGAGGACTCAAGACCAGAGAGACGGCAGTGTGAGAATACTGGCCCTGAAGATGGTGGAAACTGTTTTTTAAGTTGGTGATGAAGCCAGAAGTCTAGAAACTAGAAAAGATAAGAAAATAAGATTCCTCCTGTTAGCCTCCAGAAAAGAACACAGTCCTGTCAACACCTTGAATTTAGCTCAGTGAGACTCATTTCAGACCTCTCTAACATAATTTGTTATTTTAAGCACCTGCATTTGAGGCAATTTGGTACAGCAGCAATAGGAAAATAAAACAAGGCACTGAATCTTGTTTTTTCTTCAGTGCACCCTATCTTGGTAAATAGCATAAACTTCACCTACTTATGCAAGGCAGAAATACGTGCATCCAGTGGAATATTACTCGGCCATAAAGAATGACTTTATGACATCTGCAAGTAAGTGGAAGGATCCTGAGACTATCATGCTAAGTGAAATAAGACAGTTCCCAAAAGCCAAAGGTTGAATGTTTTCACTGATATATGAAAGCTAACCCACAATAAAGCAGGGAGGGCATGAAGAGTAGATATTCAGTAGATTAGACAAAGGGGAATGAAGGGAAGTGAGGGGGTATAGGGAAATAAAAGAAAGTGGAATGATCCAAAATAATTTTCCTATGTACATATATTAATACATCATCATGAATCCCACTATTATGTAGAGCCATAAGAATGAGATCCTAATTAGAATATTAGATCCTAATTACAGATATTTCATGCTTGCATAATTACATCAAAATGACTTCTACTGTCATGTGTAACTAAAAATAATGAATAAAATAGAAACAGTGTAATGGTCAATCTGAATTGTCAACTTGATTGGATTAAGAGATGCGAATGATTAAGAGGCTTATAGGTGTATCCATGTGGGTGTGTCTAGGAATGATTGGCACGTGGGATAGCCAACTGAATTGGAGACTCTCCCTAAGCGTGGGCAGCACTGTCCGATAGGATTATGGCTTGGATGGAATAAAGGTTGGAATAACAAGAAATCAGCAACAGATGCAAGCTAGATTCTTCTCCAATAGGTTCTTAATTGCTGTTCTGATCATCTGAGGATATCGAACTCTCTTGCTTCTTCACTCTTCCAAAGCAGACTGTCAGTGATTCTCCAGGGAGTTTCCAGAAGCCTTTATTCTCACACTAGGGTAGCAATCCTGATCTCTCTTGTTCTGGGGCTTCAGCCTCTTGGATTGCGCAGCTTATGGTTCTTCCAGCTCTCCAGCCTGAAGACAGCCACTATGGACTACCCAGCTTCTGATCCTGTAAGCCAAGCTAATAAGTCCCCTTTTTATAATTATACTTCCTGTTGATTCTGTTCCTCTAGAGAACTCTAATACAGAAAAAGAAAAAAATGTAGAAGATAATTTTAAAATGCTATTTAAATAAAAAAGAATTATTTCCCACTTTAGTTACACCATGCCCTACTGAATTGTCAAAAAGTGAAAATACAAAGTACAGCTAGGAGAGGGGGGTGTAAAACCCAGTAATCCCCAGTGAAGTGGGGGGGGGGCTAAGGCAGGAAGATCTCAAGTTCAAAGCCAGCCTCAGCAACTTAGCAAGGCCCTAAGCAACTCTGTGAGACCCTGTCTCTAAATAAAATATAAAAAAGGGCTGTAGATGTGGCTCAGTGATTATGCACTCCTGAGTTCAATCCCTGATACAAAATAGATATGTATTATTTTATTTATAAATTTACATATATAGACAAAGTACATCTACTGAGAGGACAATAATAGGAAAGAATTAAGGATGAATTCAATATAAGAATGTGCTTTTCTTAAAAAAAAATATATATATATATATACATATACATACATACATCCTTGATTTTTTCCTTTCCTCATGCTCCCAATGGAGTCAACATCGAGTCCTCTAGATTGACTAAGTGTTTATTCGTGGTTACCCACAGTGCCACTTCTCTGATTCAGATCATGGTGGTCAACATCGGCCCTCTTTTGGAGGAAGGAGGGAAACAGTACAGCCACTATCCATTCTCTGTTTAGCAGCCAGAGTAAGTCTTCTAAATTGAATATTGTGGGTAATTATTCCTTCCTTCTTGGGACTCTTCAATGGCTTGCAGTTTCACTCAGAATAAAGTCCAGACTGCTTGCTGTGATTTAGAAGAACCTCCCAGCTTTACCAGCCCTTAGCTATATTTCCTACCCCTCTGTCCTATCGCCAAACTTTCAGATTCTGTACAGTATAGGGAAAGCTCTTTACCTCTAAGGTTGCTGGCACCAGCCTTCCTTAGTCCCTACAAAGGAAAAACTCCAAACCCATTGTTCAGCACCCCTCCTCTGTCTACACTCAAGCCCCAACTTACTCCCTTCATGTTAGTCCTAATATCCTAAATTGTTAGCACCCTTGTATGAAGACCTATTCTTTAAGGATAGTGGAAGGAGATGGTCATCATTATATAAAATTCATGTATGAAGATGGGAATTTGGTGTCAACATACCTTTTATACAAACAGAGATTTGATAAATTGTAGTATAAAGGTGTTTAAAGAATTGTGATGCAAAAAAAAAATTATGAACGTAACGCACTCCACTATTGTTATGTAAGAAATAATAAAAAAGGACCAATTCTTTAAAACATCACAGCCGCCCCCCCCCATTTGAAATTTCACTTTGTACAGTTTTAGATATCCAAGGTCAATCGTGTTTCAAAAATAGTAAATGAGGGCTGGGGACATAGCTCAGTTGGTAGAGTGCTTGCCTTGCATGCACAAGGTCTTGGGTTAAATCTCCAGCACCACCAAAAAATATTAAATGAAAAATTCCAGAAATAAACAATTCTTAACCTCTAAATAATTTAATCACAGTATATTGTAATACTTATTATTTTTTTTGGTAGTGGTAGTGATGGGGGGGGGGTGTTGATATCAGGGATTGAATTCAGGGGCGTTGGATCACTGAGCCACGTCCCCAGCCCTATTTAGTATTTTATTTAGAGACAGGGTCTCACTGAGTTGCTTAATGCCCCGTTTTTTTGCGGAGGCTGGCTTTGAACTCGCGATACTCTTGCCTCAGCCTCCCAAGCTGCTGGGATTACAGGCTGGGCCACCGCACCCAGCATACTTATTCTATTAGTTATTGTTACCAATCTCTTACTACTGACTAACAAATTATATTTTATCATACGCATTAAGGTATAGAAAATAGATCAGTATATTGGGTCAGATCTGGAGTTCAAGGCATCTGGGTGTCTTAGAATTATCCACCTACAATAAAAGGGAACTACTATAGTAAATATTAGAGGCAGAAAGGAGAGTGAGTGCTTATCGTGCTCATTTTTACTTTGATTGGTCCCGGGGCCAAAAGGAATCAGACAGGTCGATACCGAGTCACTGAGAAGAACAGAAATTTTGTTCCAGTTGAAGGTTGCCAATACATGCTGCAGGCAGTTAACAAGTACTTTAGCCATTTCGCGCCCACCTCCTAGCTGCAAAATGACAATAATACTACAACCCTCATCGGTTTGTTATGAGAAAATGCTGAGCAAGGAACCCAACATTAACTGAAAGATCGCTCTCAATTAAAACAAAGGCCTGACTCCAGGTAAGATCTGTGGGCAAGTCTACCCCACCTCCACCACGAGTACCGCCCCCTTTGCCAGAGAGCTACTAGTGATTGGCTACTTCACCCTTCCGTCTCGCTCGGCCCGGCGTGCGGTCCAATCCCGACCGGTTGCTCATGGAGACAGATTCCCAGGCTTTCTGAGTGGGCGGTGTGCCTGTGACGTTCTTACGACGTATTGCGTCACCGTGGGCGGAAGTGGCGCCGGTTGTTTTGAAATCGGCTGGCCCGGGGCTTTCGAGTTCCTTCCCACGTAAAGGACCGCCGTGTCCCAATTCCGGGCCGGTCCCCTGACACCTGCCTTTGTGCTCCTGCAGGCCAGGGGTCGCAGCCGCGCCATGTCCACTCCTCCGTTGGCCGCATCGGGGATGGCGCCGGGGCCCTTCGCCGGACCCCAGGCTCAGCAGGCCGCCCGGGAGGTCAACACGGCGTCTCTCTGCAGGATCGGGCAGGAGACTGTGCAGGACATCGTGTACCGCACGATGGAGATCTTCCAGCTCCTCAGGAACATGCAGGTGGGCGTGCGACACGGGCAGCTAGCGGGGTGCTTCTGGGAGTGAAAGGCTGGGCGTCAGTGGCGCTGCCCTGGGCAAACCTCGAGTGCAGGTCACCCCGTGTACACCCCGAAGTGTCCCCCAAGGATGTGCCAGCCCCCAGATATCTGCAGGGGTGATGTTTTCCAGACCAGATTGCTCTACGATCGAAGCCACATTTTCTAGATTCGACTGGGTTCTCTGTGTAAATCCCATACCTTTCAAGACACGGTGGGTCGCACTTCACTTCCCTTTTCAGATTATTCGAAAAATTTTTCCAGCAGAAATTTTCCTGTGGAGAGGAGGGCAGTTCAAGGAGTTGAAGAATTTCACATTTTGCTAAACAACAACAACAACAAAAAAGCCCCTTCCTTTTCTTGGCACAACTAATATACAATAAAACTATGTTCATTTAAATGAATGGACTTGTGAAACCGCCCCACAGTCAAAACAGTGAACCTATCACCCCTAAAAGTTAACCTCGTGCCTCTGTGAAATCTTTGCCTCCCATTCTCCTTCGGAGTAACCACCGTTTTCTGAAATTTGTGTTTTCTAGAGTTATATAAATGAAATCATACTGTATGTAGGCTTCTTTTGTCTGGTTCTTTGCCTCAGCGTTCATCAATAAGTCATTCTTTTTTATCGCCAAGTAGTGGTCTATTGTATGAATATGTCACAGTTAGTTCATCTGTTGATGGACATTTGGGTTCTTTCCACCTGGGGGCCATTGTAAATAATGCTGCTATGAATGTTTGCTTACAAACCTTTGTGTGCACATGTTACACTTTTTCCTGAATGGATATTCTAGGGGTGTAACTGCAGGATCATAGGTTATATCTCTGTTTAACATCTTAAAAATTTTTCCAAAATAGCTGACCTATTTATATTTCAATTTGCACCTTTCAAGCGTCCTAGTTACTCCTTAACCTCATCTGCACTTGTTGTTATATATCTTTTTTGCTTTGCAGATACTTCTACCAGTGTGTGGCTCCTCTTTTCATTCTCTTCATATCATCTTTTAAAGAACAGACATTTTTAATTTTGATGGAATTTAACTTGTTGATTTGTTCTTTTCAGAGCTTGGTTTTGGTGTCATACCTAAGAAATTTTTACCTAGCCCAAAGTGACAAATATTTTTCCAATGCTTTCTTCCAGAAGTTTTGTAGTTCTAGTTTTCATATTTAGGTTTATAACCTATATTAGGTTAATTTTGGGGGGAAGATTATAGTAATAAGTATGAGTCTAAATCCATTGTTTTCCTTTTAGGTATCAAATTGATCTAGCACCTTTTGGATAACTGGGTAACTTGTTTTTTATTTTTTGCCTTGCCAGATATTGAACCTAATCTAGCAAGTGCTCTACCACTGAGCTACATCCCCAGCCCTGGCTGATCCATTTTTTAATGCTTGCTTATCTACATGCTATGAGATGCGGATTTCTTGTTTGACAGATGAAGATTCTGTAGTTAAGAGAGTTAAAGTGGCATACCCAGAGCTAGTCAGTGGTAAATTTGAAGCCAGGTTTTCAGATTATAAAAGTTTTATTTCTATGAGTGCCTAACACATATTTTATTGCCTTCTTTTTTTAAGTGGTTAGAAGTTTTTCTCCTGATTTTATGAGTAACTCTGTTTTGTGAAAATTTACTTTACCTTTACCACTGAGCTACACCCCAGTCCTTTGTATTTTTTTAGTTTGAAACAGGGCCTCACTAAGTTGCTGGGGCTGGCCTCAAATTTCCTATTCTCCTGCCTCAGCCTCCCCAGTCACTGGGATTAGAGGCATTGTGCCATTGTGCCCAGCTTTGTGGAAGTCTTAAGACCATTATCAAGAAGTCAGTGTGAAATATAATACAAAGAAAATTCAAGAGAAGATCAAAACTCTTTAGCAGTTATTTTAAAAATAAATAGATTTTTGTATCTAAAATGGTGAAGATGTGAATTAAATGATGTCTTAGAGTTTAACATATAATGTATTTTTTGATTTTTAACCTGCTGTATGTAAAGTACTAAATTAAGGCCGGGAGAGGAAATAGCTATCATCTATCAAGTACTTTTCTTGGTGCAATATACAGTTGTAGAGACATTTTCAAGAAATATTTTTATCCCTATTTAACAGTTAAGGGAAATGAGCTTTGAAGAGAGAAGTAACTTCCTGTTAACTTCCTTATATTATAAATTTGCTATCAAATTGTCCATATTATTAAAAGAGATACAATGCAGGTCATGCCCACATAGAACTAAACTCTTTCAAAATATGTTATCAATTACTATTCCATGTGGATCTATATTCAAAGCTAATTGGTAGGGGGCTAGGATAGTTATTTACATGGTCTAACTTACCTGAGGCCCTGTGGGGCACATTGCAGTGTGCCCCTTCCTTTCGAAAATACTGTTAAGAAGAGGTAAAAGGATGCTCTTAACTGCGTATCATCTGGTTATTTTTTAATGCAGTGGCTCCCTCGTCAACATTTTGAGTTATCCATGGTCAACCATCATCCAAAAATGTTAACTAGGCCTTTTGAGAAAGAGAGGGAGGATTAGCTTTCCATTTTTGTGACAATATTCCTGAGAAAATCAATTTAGGAGGAAAGAGATTTATTTTGGCTCACAGTGTGAGAAGTTTCAGTCCATGTCACTTTCAGTCCATTGATTCTGGGCTTGTGGTGAGGTAGACCCTCATGGCAGGGAGCATGTATTTGAGAATAGTTGCCCAGTTCATTGCAGCCAGGAAGCAAAGAGAATGCACAAGAGAGGAAGGCAACAAAATATACCCTTCCCCAGTCCACCCTCCTGACCTACTTCCTCCAGATAGACCCCACCTCTAAAGGTTGTGCCACTTACTAATAGTGCCACAGCTTGGCAACCTAGGCTTTAGCAGGTAACCTTTTGGGGACATTTAGATCCATACCATAACAGCAACCACATTTTCATGATATTTATTACAATATATTGTTATAATTGTTTTATTTTACTTGTTTTTCATGTACTGTGCCTGATTTTTTAAATTAAATTTTCTCACTGTTTGTATATGTAAGAAAAACTAGTATATATAGAATTCTGTACTATCGCTAGTTTCAGGCATCCATTGGGGATTTTTGGAAAGTATTCCTCTTTGAGAAGAAAGAACTACATTTTTTAACCATTTAGATTTGAAATCATCCTCTGTATTATTAATCCATAAAGTTAGAGTTGTGAAGTACAAACTGCTAATGTTATTTCCAAGCATTTATTTTAGAGAAATGGTTTTTTAGATGTTAGGTGTCTGTTTTCTGCTTAAGAGTCTGATGAAAACCATGGACTCTTCTAAGAAAAATGCAAAAGCACATTTTGAAAATAAGTTTGAGGAGTTAAAGAATATATCCCCAATTATCCCTAAATCCCTGATTAAGATTCCCTGTGAAAAAATGGCATTGCTTTGGTTCTGTTAATTATCCTATAAATCTCTTATTTTATTTTTGGCATTCATAATACATTGAGAATTCAGAAATAAAACAGAATGTTTTCCCTCCCATTTCTATTAACTTGGTACCTAATCCATCTCCGCTGGCAGTGGTTGTTAACAATGCTTATTACTAATTTTATGTATCCTTTCCAGATATTTTTTGCATATTTAAGCAAATGTGTACATATATTTTTCATTTTCCCCTTTTGCACTGATAGTAGTATATTATACATATTTTGTACCTTGTTTTTTACATTGAGTGTATCTTGATACTTACTCATGTCTGTACAGAAAGGTCTACCTTTTGCTTTTTGTAGTATATGTTGTCTGCTGCATGGAAATCCTATGATTTATTAAAACTTTTTTCTAGTGAGACCATTTATACTGCTTTTAATTTCTCACTGTTAGGCTGTAGCAAATCATCTCCTACACAAATGTGCAAGTCTGCTTTAGGATACATTTTTTAAATAGCTGTGTGCTTATTTAATTAGATAAGTTTTGATGAATTGTCCTCCTCAGGCATTGTTCTAGTTTATGCGACCATATCTTGACTAAGACCAACACAGTACATTATTAGTTTTTGATCTTTGATCACTTGATAGATGCTGCAGTTTTTTACCTTATGTTTCTCCTAATTTGATTAAATTTGACTATTTCTTTATAAATGTATAAATCATTTATACTTTATTTTATGCTAAATGCTTATATATGTTATATATGTTATTTGCCCATTTTTTTTCATCATTTTGTGGAACATCTTTTTTACCTTGTTCACAAGTTTGTAGGACTTATTTATATGTTAGAGGAACTTGCTGTTTATGATATAACTTGCAAGCATATTTTTTCAGTCTTTTGATTTTTTTGTTGTTTATTTATTTATTTATTTGCTCTGCCTATGGTAGTTTTTGCTATGCATGCTTTTAAAAAAATGAATTTATTTATCTTTAAGGGTGTCTAGATTCTATGACTAGTTAGGAAGGCCTTCCCTGCTTCAAAATTAGGGAGAGTTCTGGGGGTTTTTGTTTCAGTTTTTGCTTTTAAAACTTTGGTCATTATAGAATTTACCCTATTATAAAGTGTGAGGTATGGCCCTAGCATTACTTTTTTCAAAAGGCCGATGAATTCATTTTTCTCCTCCATCCATTCCCATGCTACTTTACACAAATGACTCCATTTTTGAATGTTCTTTTCCACATATCTGTCTGTCTTTTAAGGATTAAAGCCAAATTTTTAAAATATTTTTTGAGGCTTTGTTCTGTTTACATTTATTTTTTAAATTTTTTAATATTAAATTTTTGAATTGTAGATGGACATGATACTTTTATTTTATTTATTTATTTTTATGGTGCTGAGGATCGAACCTAATGCCTCACACATGCAAGGCAAGCAGTCCACCACTGAGCTACAACTCCAGCCTTTCATTTATTTTTCAGAGTATTCCTGGCTCTTCCTGATTATTTAGTTTTCTCTGTGTTAGAATGAACTTTAGTTCTAAGAAAAACCTATCAGTGTTTTCTTGAGATTTATTAAACCTAGAAAGATATCATTATGATGTTGAGTCTTAATAAACCAGCCAAAGGCATGGAATATCCTTTATTTTCCTAAGAAGTATGTTAAGTTTCATTTTTATTTTTATTGAAAGTTGTTCCTAGATCTTTTATCATTTTTGTCACCATTATTATGACCATTTTCTTTGGGTTTATTTTTATAGGTAAAAGCAAAGCCATTTCTTTTTCTCTATTATTTTTGTACTCATCCCCTTATTGAATTATTTTAATTTTTGTAATCATTATCATTTCATTTATAAACAGTGACTATTATACAGCTTCTTTTTTATTGTTTCAACCTCCCCCTTACGTTTTCTTCTCTGATTATATTGGTTACCGCCTCTAGAACAGTGTTCATTAGTAGTATTACTGGTCTTAGTAGACATCCTTTTCTGTTCCAGACCTTAGCAGAATATTTCTGATATTTTCACATTAACCGTGTGCTGAGTTTTTAACTGAGATAAATATATTTTATTATACTGAGGAGTCTTATTATGTTTTATATTTATTTTAAGTGTGGATATTGAATTTAGTTGAATGCTTTTTTAGTGTCTAGATGTATGATGATGTTTATCGCCATCTATCCAAGCTGGTGACCTATGCTGGGTTCACAAAATCTGACTATTCCAATAACTTAAGAAAACAGTGAAGAAAGCACACAAACACACAGAAGTACCTTTTCAAAATCAATCTCTACCCCACCTACTGTAATTCATTTCTCTCTTTGTTTATTTTCCCATTCCCCTCACAACCTCTTATATGTAATTTTGTATAGCAATGAGGGTCTCCCTTCATTTCCATGCAATTTCCCCTTTCCCTCCCATCTCATGTCTCTGTTTAATGTTAATCTTTTCTTCCTGCTCTTCCTCCCTGCTCTGTTCATAGTTGCTCTCATTATATCAAAGAAGATGGCTCTGTGACCTTAGGGATCCGTGGAAAGAGAGAAAGCCCCTGGAATTCTTTATTCACATACAGGGGACACACAAGGGGAGGTTCCATGGAACATTCTATCCCAAAAAGGGCAAAGGGGTAGGATTACAAAGGAACAAGTGGATGTAATTCAGCCCCATCTGATGACGGCCACTCCTGAAGCCACACCTTCCTTATCTGAGCCAGGTAAAGCCCAATGTATTGTTGGGTGCAATAACTGTTCAGCACCCCTTTACTCAGGACTTACAGGTGCTCACATGGCTTCTGTCCAGAGCAGCTCCTGACAGATGTATTTATGTTTTTCATCCACAGTCATGAGTGAGATGATTATTGATGAACTTTTCAGCTGAAGAGTGAGATCAAGGGATCTTCAAGGCTGTTACCATGTATGCTGTGTAATATGGGAACCTCATTTCTATCATGTTGACTGCTACCCCAGTTTCTAGAACAATGCCTCACACATTTAAAGTATGCAGGGGACTGAGGCTATAGCTCAGTTGGTAGAGTGTTTGCCTTGCATGCACAAGGCCCTGGGTTCAATCCCCAGCATACACACACGCACACACACACACACAAAAAAAAAAAAAGAATGGAGGAATTTTTTGACTCAATTTTTCCTTTCTTGAAGAAGCTGCTATAAAAGTAGTATCGAAATTGACTAAGTTAGGCAAATTGGAGAAGGATGATTCTTTGCATTTCTAAAGGATTGACAGATTTTATTAAGAGTTCTTTCATGACACACACTTCTCAATGAAGGGCTAAGTATAGATTGGTGGATAAAATAACTCGTTAAAGTAAAATAATTCAGACTGCATGTTAAAACCTGTGGATGTGTTTGCACTATACTGCATGTGGTGATACAAATATAAGTGTCAGCCTTTATTAAATAGAAAATAGGGGCAAAGTATTAAACGTAGTAAATGCCACAAGAAAGGTTCAAAGTGCTTCTCTTTTTTTTTTTTTAAAGAGAGAGTGAGAGAGGAGAGAGAGAGAGAGAGAATTTTTTTTAATATTTATTTTTCAGTTCTCGGCGGACACAACATCTTTGT